ATTAAGTATTAAATGCCTCCACCTAGATGGTACCCCAGGCACATATCAGTGATTGTTAACTTGTTCAAGTTACATTAATGTAACATCCAATTCCACTACACTCTAATGGAGGATTATTAGATTTATTCCACTATAGCCCAGATACCTAAATATTAGGACTGTGTGAAGCTTCAATCACCGATTCAATTTGGTGGAGATTTGGCCCGATTCGGCTGCTGAATATCTGAATCGAATCAGGAGACCCTTTAATCTGTATGAATTGAATTGGAAGCCTCCAAATTGATTCAGAGAGTTTTGGAGAGATTCGATGATTTGGACATAGACACAGCTTTAAATGTTTTTTCTACATACCTCAAGGTACCAGGGGGCTCATTAATGCTGAGATGGTGGGGTGGATGGAGCATTCCATGGGAGTGTGGGGGCTCCCCAGCGTGCTCAGCAGTGAACTGAGAAGTGGTACAGAAGCATTTCCAGTCTGCTTCTGGGCCTGCTGGGGAGTGCATGGGGGAACCCCCCTCTGCCCCTGGCTCAGCAACTGGTGCCTCCTGGGTCTAGGGGGGGCACCTGGGGTCCCCCCACAGCTGAGCACTGAGCCAAGGGAGTGCGAGGGAAGGGTCCCCCACGCGCTCCATGGCGAACCCAGAAGTGGACCAGAAGAACTTCCGGCCCACTTCTAGGTCTTCCACCAAGTGTGCAGGGCCCGCCCCCCACCATGCTTCTGTGGCATGCTCCACCCACCCCACCATCGCAGCATTCATGAGCCACACCTGTTACCTCAAGGTATGTAGAAAAAACATTTAAAGCTGAGTCTGTGGCTGAATCACCAATTCTCTGAATCAGCATCAAATCTTCAGATTCGGATTTGGCCGAATCGAATTCAGGACAGTGATCTGAATCAACAAATCAAATCCTTGATTTGTCCTTGATTCAGGCTGAACACAAATCCAAGTCAACTATGACCTGTTTCACACACCCCTGCTAAATATCCAGATGTCTTAAGTGCCTTTCATAACCTAAGTGACCCTGACTGTGCTTTCACTATCAGTGCCATCATTAAACAACAAAAGCACTGATAATAGGGTTAGCATGGCCTGGTTACTCCTGTTCAAAATATGTCACTGTCACAGAAACAAAACCTAACTTTTAGTTATGCATTTCCTTGTATAATTCTCATAGAAAGAAAATAATAATGTATTAACAAAATTAACTCAGTTAAATAAAATGTCATTAAAATTATATGATGTATGTATAATTTAAGATCTTTTGATTATGCTGTGCACCAGATTCTAAGATTCTGAGAGAGCTTTGTTCATTAGTCTGCATGCTCATTTGTGCTTGTGATATACACTAGATATTATAGAACTATAAATATGGCGGATATAATGTGTGTATTTCATTTTTAGTGGAAACAACCAAAAGTAAAGAAATCAGTAGAATGAGATGCTGGAGTGCCTTCTAGAGCCCTTATAGCATAAAAATACCCAGAGTTAATTTGGATACTTGAACAGAGAGTTGTATATTTTCTTAAAGGGAAA